CTTTGTTCACTAAATGACAAGTGTTCAGAGTCACAACAAACGGCTACAACAGTGATTATCAACTGGTGGCTTGTGGGCCACTTTAGGTTTGTTGGAGGGTGCGTTTGTGGCCACTAGGGGTCGTATTATAAAACTAAAAAATCTAATGTTTTTTTAAACATTTATTGATATTTTTACAATTTAAGACAAATGAAAAGACCAGATTCTTGGAAGGGGTGGGGGGATAGTTTCTTTTTTAATTAAAAAAAAATAAAATCTATAAACTATGCAGATTTTTATGATTTTTTTTTTAATTGTGGAAAAATTAATTAAGTATAGAAATAAAGCATAAAGTTAAAGTGAGTATCTTTTTACTCCTTGTACTTGTTCCAGTTTTCACACATTGCAAAATAAATCATAGGAAAACTGCTTAAACTAGTCCTTTTTGTTGTTGTTTGTATAACAACCAATAAAATTCAGTTTTATTTTAGTTTTGGTCAAAACTTGAAAGAGCCGCTGCAGAGGAACCAAAGAGCCGCATGTGGCTCCAGAGCCGCAGGTTGCGGACCCTTGTTTATGTTCTTCACATATGAATTAAGAGTTTTGGGTTTCTTTTTAACATTAATATTTCCTTAATCATAAAACACCTTGTGTATTTCTGCTAATACTGTGCATATTAATCAAGCATTTAGATTTATGAAATGGCTAATGGCTCAAATATAACCTAAAATAAAATAAAAACCTCTAAAATCTCTAAAATTACATACATCTGTTTAATCTGGACAAAAACCTTCTTAAATGAATGCAACTCATGTTTTTCTTTATGTTATATTTGACTAAAATGAGTCAAATGCATCAAAGAACGAGCAGCACCGTTTCTCACTGCTGAAAAGGAAAACGACCCCGTGTTTCTGTGTGGTGTCCAGGTCCAGAGATAGACCCGTTCTGGTACGTGGGACGTGGGGTGAGGCCCATCGGGCGCTTTGGGAAGAGGCACAGCAGCGTGGACGCACTGGACAGCAGCCAAATGCAACCTGTCGTCAGAACTTTGGAGCTGCTGCTCAACAGCCTCAGAAATAAGGAGAACCTTGGAGAAGGACTGGGCGGAGAGGACAGAGCCTGGATTCAATGATGTCGTCTCCTCACCATCAGTGTCTTCATTTTTTCCCGTCTTGACTGAGGTTGCGTGTTCTTTTTCTCTGTCTCGAGAACAGATCCGACGTATCTGTACATAATGTATTCTATATTGTTGAATAAATGGGGATGTTGTGATTCAACCCTTTGTTTGCACTTTGTTTTCGTAAATGCACAACAAAAGAACAAAGTTCAAGTTTGCAATTTTATTTCCATGATACATTTTAGTTCTGAGAGTACTGTGGCACATAAAGATTCTGCTTTTTGTTGTTGTTGCATTTTGACGATTGCAACAAACGACCGCACAAGGAGAAAGAGAGCCTCTTCATCGTCATTTAAACTGTTCTCATCTCCTCATCGACAGACTTCCTGTGAGAATCCAGCTTCACAAGTTTAACAACTTTACAGTCTCCTGCACACAACGCTGAAAGATTTGTCGACTATGACCGGGCAACAAACGTCATAACATTTCCATCTTTTCACACATATACATATATTAACAAATTCAGTGGTGAGATTTCATAGTTTGTACATTAGAAAAATACAGGACACTGATAATTGGACCCTTGCAGATGTGCTTCTCACGGGAAACTTTACATCAACTCTTTAAAACCAGAAACATGCTTTTATACAACATCATCTTTGGAGAACGAGACTGACGAAAAGCACGGGGCCGGTGTGCAAAATCAAAGACGTGACACAAAAGTCACTGACAGAAGAGCATTCAGACGCAGGACCGTCACTTCTTTTACGCAGTCCAACAAAAATATCCAACCCTGTTTTCAGTTTTGCTAAATGTAGATGACAAATCAAACTATGATGGTCAGAGTGAAGAAAATTCAGCCAGGATGACTAAAAGGCAAGTCTCCTCAAATGTTTAAGGAGCGTACAAGTCCCCTTTAGCTTGGCCACTTCTTGTCATCTGCCTTTTTATTGTAGCATCCACACAACCGGACACGATAAACTGCGAAATGTTAAACGCAGGTTCACGCTCTGAGTCATCACATGTGAGTCTGAGAAAGTTTCCATCGGAAAAGAAATAAAGCCTTTAATTTGCAAAAGTTTCTGTATTGCATAAAAACGGTTCGGCAAGTACAAAAATAAGTTGCTCGTAACAAAATCATGTCTTTATGGCATTTGTTACAGAGCCCGTTAGATGGTATGTAAAAATAATCTTTACATCTTAACACAAAACATCTGATATGAAGGTAAAAATTATACATTTTATTTCAAACAAAAAGCTACAAAGTAAGAGATTAAAGGAAACGTGCCTCTGCTGAAGAGGAATCTTCCACCGTGAAAATTAACTTTTACACCAAAACTTGAACAGAGCTTGGAGGCGTTGTGCGGAGACTTATGATCGTTTTAGGTAAGACATTAAAAAAAACTTTATTTAAAGGTCCGAGCTTTTCAAATTAAGGCCTTGATGAAAATCTGTTGCCACGGTGAAAAGTTGCCCTTTTACATGACTGAAAACAGATTTATGTAATCTTAACTGTTTATAAGACAGAATTTACTGACATCATTTGAGAAAAACTTTATTTTGTATTAATTTAAGGTGTTTAGACCTTATATGTACCGTAAGCAACAATGAAGGTAGTCACAGAGCTGAATTAGTGCATGCGTGAGGTGTGTGTGCAGCACACTGCTACAACCAGTGACCATCATTCGCAGGAAAGTTGCCCAAAGATCATAATTTATTCAAGTTATGTAAATCTGTGCAGTAAATATCAATTCAGAGTGAAAACTTGTGTATCTGCTCACAATTATTCGTCTCGTAAAGGTCACAAACAGTTGCTGTTCAGTGAGACACAGGTTTTGGTTCAAAATGGAGCAAGATTAAATAACTTGTTGCACCTTTAGCCTCCAGTCTCTATATTAAGATTAAAATGTACATTTGAACGCTAATCTATGTGAAGTTAGCATAGCTAACCGATAAACACATTTACCAGGTGGTTCCAGTTGTAACCAAAACTGAAATGAACGAAAAGTATTTTTTATGGTAAGTTATAGGGATGCACGATATTATCGGCATGGTATCGGTATCGGGCGATATTAGCGATAAAGTTAAATATCGGACATCGGCCGTTCCTTCAACTCACCGATATAAAAGACGCTGTTTTTGTATGAAACCCAGCGACGATGATGCCTGCAGCGCCAGCACAATGTGATGACGCCACGCGCTCCGTTGAGTTCAGATTTACATTGTTCGAGAGTTATTGTGTTAGCGAGTAAATGTCATGAATAAATTTGACATTAACATAATTCACGTTGAAGTGTTACATCATTTTCAGCCCCTTTTTGTCATCTGCATTTGGTAGCAGGTCAAACGGACAAAGACCATGCAGAATAATGGAGTATTTGAATCTCTGTAAGTAGGTCTAGGAGAAAAATATCGGTATTGGTATCGGCCAAATAAGTTTTAACATCAGATTTCGGCCAAAAATTGAATATCGTGCATCCCTAGTAAATTATGCTGTTTACTTTTTGAGTTTCAAAAACAAATTTAGGCTATTTCCTTCTTCTGCTGATTGGGTTTTAGCTGTTGGCTTATTTAAATGTAGCTCATTGTCTTCCAGCTGTGCAGTTCTTCAGATGGTTTATTCTCAGTCATGCACACAAATTCCTCAAATGTTGCATTTTTTAAATCTTTGCCATAATACTTCGTAGTTGCATGAAAGGAGCGTGAGCGCACGATGTCTCATTTTATTTTTAAATGGTAAGATAAAGCGTTACAATCATTCCCACACGAGAATTAGCATCTGACCGCTGCCGTATGAACTGGAAAAATAAACGTTTCAACGGGTGAATAAATGCTTCTGCTTTTTGTTCGCTCATCCTTCTTCTGAAACACCGAATCACAAAGTTTCACAAAGTTCTCCACAGCTTCGTTTTACGGTAAACAACGACTTTCTTTTGAACAAGTTAAATTTGTTTTTGTTTGCCTGTACAGATTTTTTTCTGAGTCGTTTGCAGTACGAAGTGTGTCAGCAGATTTTAAGGCAGAAACCGCTGAGTCACCGTTATGTGACGTATTCTGTCAATAGAAAACTGAAGATCGCTGAGGAAGAAAGAGCCAGTCATGTTTCCTATGAAGTGGGTGTGAGGGGTGCAGCAGGGCGGGTGTTTGGCCCGTTTGGCCTGCAGCTGGAGGCAGATGCTGGATCAAGGCACTAGATGTGAAGGGCCCCTGTCCCGGGGGCTCAAACGTGGCCCTGAGGGGACGTGTTGTGCTGCCGTCCGCCTGTCATCATGGCCAAAGTGCTCCCACCTGCTGCTCGGACGCCAACGTTTCTGAAAATGAGCAAATCACAATTAAAGACGGTTGAAGTCACGTCTGGACAACGAACGAGACGAAGCTGCTCGTCTTTGAAGCCGACCTGAATCACAGCTTTTGTTTCGATGCCGGGGAAGGAAACAGAAGACAGAAAAGAATATAAAGAAGCTGCAACGGGAAAAAAAAAATCCATTTACAAACATGAAAAGGAGCCGACATCTTGTGGTTTGATGAAAACAGCCTCGTCCTCCTGCACTGCATGTTTCCATTAGGCTGCTTTACGTCTAATGGACCTTTTCCAGTTCTTTGGCCTATTTTTAATATTTTCTCTTTCACATCCATTCAGTGGCCTGAAATGTGTGATGCTCATCAGGACGATATAAATGTCCTTGTTTTTGTCTTTAGTCCTCTCTCACACACACCTCTTTACAAACTGAAACATTTAGTCAGCGCTGAGTAACCGGGGGGAGAACATCACATGCAGGGCACTTGATTTTTAGTAAACTGCCGCAAACTGGAGCAAAAAGACAAATAAAAATAATCTATTTTTTTGAGTGCTTTATTTTTTGTCCTAAAAAAAAAAAACGAGTTTGTTACCTTTGAGCGGCGGCGCAGGAAGTTTCCTCCTCTGATGACGCGACGAGTCCAGAGTTTCAGGCTGCAACGAGAAAACGACTGTTAAACTCCTAAAACATCATAAAAATAATAACAATAAAATGTGAAGCTCGTGCTCTTTTTTTTTATTTCACAAAGCGTTCCTGTATTTGTGCTTACAAGCTGCAGGATTAGCCTCTAAAATCATAAAGTGCTTTATTTCAGTTGAGCACATGTTAAATATTTCCTTCTACTCAAAATTAAAGCAAATATAAACTTTTTATTGGATTCAAAGTAACAAATTTCTATATCTGAATAATTGCATAACACTGCCATGACTATACGATTCACAGAGTTGTGTTCTACGTGTAAACAGTTTGTTTATACACAAGGACTCATATTTAACACAGAGAGTCCATGCAGCACAGACCCGGGGTCTGGAGCTCTACATCTGCACATCTGCATGCAAACCGTCCTGGTTGCAGATGTTCCATGTGGTTTTCACAGAGACCTCAGCAGACCTGCAGTCATCTGAGAGCGTTGGACCAGAAAAGAACTTGGGGTTCACATTTAACGGACAGGAGCTCTCCTCCAGAACCGTCCAACTTCAGTCACATCACGGTTTAAGGTGTGAACAGACATTTTTTATAAAACATGAATCTAGTCAAACGTAGCAAAAGTCTTCAGTTAACTAACTTGTTCTGTTGCTGAAGCAGACAGACGTTAAAAGGACGACGAGTTACCTTGGACTTGGGTTTTAACTTGAAGCGATTGCAGACCGTCACGTTTAATCCAGCTGTTTTCAGAGCTGATATCCTCGCCTCGATGTTTGATATCTTCAACCACAAAGAGCACACACACATATTTATGGGGCGCCGTTTGTAGAGTCACACAGTCACAAATTAACAAAGATATTTAGGTTTATTTCGCCTTTCGTAAGAAAAAAATTGTGCTTTATTTTTCAGTCATATTTTCACCATGTTATTCATACATTTATAAATGTCATAGTTCCAAACTAAATATTTAATTTACAAGCTAAATATTTAGTTTCAAATTAAATATTTTACTTCCTAACTAAACATTTAATTTATAAGCTAAACATTTAATTCCTAAACTAAATGTTTAATTTGCTAACTAAGTATTTAGCTCGGACCTAAATATTTGTTTTCCAAGCCAAACATTTCCATCCATCCATTATCTTTACATGCTTCTTCCATTTTGGGTCACGGGGGTCGCTGGTGCCCATGTCCAGCAATCACTGTGCGAGGGGTGGGGGACACCTTGGACAGGTCTCCAGTCCATCACAGGGACACATAGAGACAAATGAGACAAACAACAATTCACTCGCTCTCTCACACCTAGGGACAATTTAGAGTTACCAGCCCAGCTAAATATTTAATTTCCAAAATAAATATTTAATTTGCCAACTACATATTTAGCTTGGACCTAAATATTTAATTTGCAAGTTAAATATTTAACTTAAATATTTAACTTGTAACTTAAATATTTAGGTCCAAGCTAATTATTTAGTTAGAAAATTTAATATTTATTTTGGAAATTAAATGTTTAGCTTGGAAAATAAATATTTAGGTCCAAGCTAAATATTTAGTTAGCAACCTAAATATTTAGTTTTGGAATTAAATGTTTGTTTATCCATCCGTCCATTATCTTTACCCATTTATTCCATTTTGGGTCATGGGGGTCGCTGGTGTCCATGTCCAGCAATCACTGTGCGAGGGGCGGGGGACACCCTGGACGGGTCGCAAGTCCATCACAGGGACACATAGAGACAAACGAGACAAACAACCATTCACTCTCTCACTCACACCTAGGGACAATTTAGAGTTACCAGCCCAGCTAAACATTTAATTTCCAAAATAAATATTTGATTTACTAACTACATATTTAGCTTGGACCTAAATATTTAATTTGCAAGTTTAATATTTAACTTAAATATTTAACTTGTAAGTTAAATATTTAACTTAAATATTTAGGTCCGAGCTAATTATTTAGTTAGCAAATTTAATATTTATTTTGGAAATTAAATGTTTAGCTTGGAAAATAAATATTTAGGTCCAAGCTAAATATTTAGTTAGCAAACTAAATATTTAGTTTTGGAATTAAATGTTTGTTTATATTTAATTTATTAACTAAATATTTACCTTGCATTTTAAGTGTTTAGTTTGTATACTAAATATTTAGCTTGTAAATTAAATACTTAGTTTGGAACTATGACATTTATAAATGTATGAATAATATAGTGAAAATATGACTTTGAAAAAAAATATTTTTTTTCTTATGAAAGGCTAAATAAACCAAAATATTGCCGTTACGTGCTAAACCGTAAGATGGAAACAATTTGTGAGCATCGCAGGCCACCTGCGGCTTCTAGGGCTCGCCAGCATGTTGGAGACGACCTTGCAGGCGGTTCATAGCACGGACCAGTGGAACGTCCACAAATCTGACCATTTTGGATCTTGAAAGTCCAGCAGGACTGACAAGAAAAAAACAGTCTGCCTGAAGAACATCAACAATTGTGGCTTTTCTGAATCTGACTCCCTCGTTTGGCCTCGAAAGCAGGCCGACATCAAATTTCTCCTGGGACATGGGAAAACTAGGGAAAAAGCTTCGTCTATGCCCCCCCCAGAACTTCTGTGAAGGCTTATCAGAACTGTGGCAGCTGACCAACATCTTACCAGGACTATGGCCTATCTGGAAGTGCTTCATGGACAAATCTCAACATCTTGATGTCAAATCATATGTAATGTGTCTATAAATGTGCTGCTGGTAGAGGTTTATGATGTTTTACATCATGTCCTGACAGGACAAGATGTGAAGAGATCTTTTTGGTAATACCACTATCCATCCTCATGGGCTTTTCCCATTTTTCCACTTAAAAAGTGTTCTTTTCAGAAGCGAATGATGAACTCCATCAGGACTTCTGCACACCTCTGACAGTCGTGTGAACGCAGCGCTCAAACTTTGTTAAAAGCGACCAGTCCTGTGGTGTACCTGCAGTTCAGACTGCTGGACCTGAGCTGCTGCTGTGGCCACCTGGTCCTCCAGAAAGGCCAGCTGGGTGTCTGAGGTCCTGCTGCTGATGCTGCGGGCGCACTGCTCCAGCTCCCCCAGCGCCCCCTCCAGGCCGTACACCACCCCAGCCGCCAGGTAGACCTGCAAGGTGAGGAGGAGCAGAACTGTGGGTCCACGTCACGCTGACTCAGGTGAAGCTGCTGAGCTGAAATCATCTGTAGCTCACGTTCTCCTCCATCTTGGTGAGCCTCTGGTCCAGCTTGCGGGTCTCCGAGCTGCTGGAGATCGGAGAGGCGCTCATGGACTCGGACGGGGTGTAGCTCTCGCCCCCCGCCTCCCCAATCAGCTCCTCTGTAGCGTTCAGAACCTTCAGCACCTCTGTGGTGATGCTGCAGAGCGAGGCTGCTGAATACTTCTGCTGCAGACACAAAAAATTCACTTCGTCATCGGGGAAGTCATGAAGGTTTTGGTTGAAACCACTGAACTGAAACTACACTCAGCTAAAACAATAAAACAAACTAATCCAGCGGCCTCTGACTGATCAAGAGGGTAAAAATGTGTAACAACTTTCAAATCATAAAAACACAGCAGATTTATTCCTTAGCTCCTGCCAGCAAACCTTCCCTCCAGTAAACACAAATGAACTCTGTCGTCACGTCTATCTGTGCCGCTGAACACGACGGAGTGGACTCACGGTCCACACGACGCAGCATGAGGTCCGTCCACCTTATCGCCATGGAAACATGGCTCATGTGATGCAGGGATTGTGCCTCACAGTTTAAGAATCTCTGGTTGAAACTAAAATGTCCACGAAAATGAGTGCAGATAGGAACCAGGTTTGGAAAAGTCAAATATTTGGCAACTAAATGTGCAATTCACAAATTTAAGAAACGTGAGTAAAGACAATTACTCTGATGTCAACTTCAGCGCTTTATTATTTCAGTAGATGAAACATCTTCCATTTGAAATAAAGTAAAGCACAGATCATTCGGTTTTGTGGTTTGTGTTCCACTTTAAATGTCGACGTCAGGCCATCGTCTTGTAAACACCCACATGTGGTCGGCTCGGAAAAGTAACCAAAGCGTGCGGAACAGGATGTGAGAAACGTTACACACAGAGAAGGTAAATGATGATTTCATCTTTAGGCTCTGAAAAGCTGAAGACATGAGAAGAACAAAACATGTCCTTGAAGGTGCAGCCGGTTTCATTGTTGGGGGGTGGAGGTTGCTGCAGGAATCAGCTCTTCAGTCACTGATTAAAACCAGAAGTCAATGACTTACATTCAACTTTAAATATTACAAAGAAAACATCTGGAAATGAGATCTTTGCACTGATGAACTGCAGCTTCAAACACAAAGTTAAGGTTGTTTTAACTGTGGTAAACCAGAACGCAACCCTTACTGTGAAAACTGAAGGTTGTGTAAAACAATGGTTCCCAACCATGATCCTTGAGGAACACCATCCTGCACGCTTCAATTGTTTCACTGCTGAATGGGTGATTAACGGACTTCTGCAGAACTTGAGGAAGTACTGTACTTTCTGTCGTACACGTTGCAACGCACTATAAGTCGCATTAGTTCAAAAATGTCTAATAAAGTGGAAAAAACAGAAATATGTTGCTTCGCCGTATACGTCACATTTATTGCGCATCACCACTGACCACTCGGAAATGTGGGCCGGTGTTGTGCCAAAAATCGATTGGCTGCCAAATGGCGGCCGCGGGAGCGTGCACAGGAGGACTTTAACAAGATAAACACCTAAAAACAATTATTTGTCTGCTCAACATTATAATAAAGGTGTGTCTCAGTTGAACTTTTCCTTAATAGATGCACTTTAATGGTCAAACAAGCTGCTGTGAAATGAAGCCGATTTGACGTTTGTTCCAGGAGTTCTGGAGCGAGATGAAGGTGGCTTTGTATGGCAAGCCAAGTGTCTCATTAATAGCCACTTTTACCTATTAATGAGACAATTGGCTTGCCATATACATCCAGTGTCCTCTAGTGGTTGAAAATGGTAGTGTTCAATATTTTCTGTCAGAATGAATGAAATCGTCAGATCTCAGCCAAAAATTGGGTTATAATTAAATGGGGGGGGGGGGGGGCGGCACATAAAAAGGTTGCTTTGCTCTATAAGTCGCAGGACATGCTAATTTATGCAAAAAACTGTGACTTATACAGTGAAAAGTACAGTAATTAAATAACTGAATCAGGTGTGTTAGAGCGGGGAAACATCTAAACCATGCAGGGGGTGTTCCTCGAGGACCAGTGTTGGGAACCGCTGGTGTAAAGTCTAAAATAATTGTTAATTTCATGGCAGCAACACATCAAAAAAGTGGATTCTGGACCATTGTAACCATTGAGAAACGTCTCTTCTCCTTTTAACACCAGTCTGTAAACTGTTAGAGTCTGAGGAGACGAGTTGTTGGAGGGAAACGTCTCGTTCTTGTCTGATGGAGGATTCCAGCTGTTCAACACTTTGCTGGATGGGAGCAGATGTTTTACTAAAACCCGTTTATAGTTTTCTGCACAGATGTGTAAGCTGTCCATGTCAGAGGCACTAATGCACCCCTATACCATCAGAAAAGCATATATTTAAACTTTAAGGAGGCATTTGTGGTTTCCAAACCTAATTTTAAATTTTATTCTGTCCGAACACAGATCAGTTCCCCATTTTGCCTCAGTCCATGTTAAATGGCAGCGGCATGGACGATTTTTTCTTTGCACGATAGAGCTTTAACCAGCATCTACGATCGCCACGGCAAGCTGTGTTTACAGACGGTGTATGGACGTGTTCCTGAGCCCATGGATTGACGTCCAGAACAGACTCAGAGCTGTTAGTTTAACATTTGACGTGTTTACCGTGTTCCACTGTGAATCGGGTTCATGACATTTGCAGTTCATTACTTTCTGTCCTTGTGCATTTTACACATCGTCCCAACATTGAACTGGCATTGCAAGGTGGTGAATGTGCTTCTCTGCTAAGTAAACAAAAACAAGAAACGAGAAAGAAGTGAGTGAAGCCAAGTGTTGCTCATGAATAAATCACTGGATGAAGCTTTAATCAGGGGCATCTGAGGCATATTGATTCCTTTTTAAGGCTGAAAGGTGTTTCAAGGTAACGCCAGAAGGATGGATGAGAGAAATGAAAGGGGGTGTGTTCTGTTTTTATTTCTAAATTATGATTCAGTGGTTCTAAAAACACAGAGTGGCAGAGATGAAGCGTGGAGGCATCGATCTGCGCCGCTCAAAGGTGGAGCGAACACATCCTCCACCGCTCTGATGAAGCACAACATCAGCGCTCCCATCAAACGTCGTTGCTTACGTTGCGTTCTGTGACTCATTTGGCCGTCTGGTTGACTTCTGAACAAACGGCAACTCTGAATCTGATTCTAAAAAAACTCAACCAAACAAATTACGTGAACTGAACACTGTCCCTTCGGTTTGATCAGCATTTAGCACCAGTTTGAGACGGAACAAATCAGCCTGGATGATGTCGAATGCAGATTGTAGAAGATGGAAAACCTTGAAAACTGTTTAAGCTCAACAATAAACAACTGTGTCGTCAGCATAGAGATGTAAGGATGCATCAGGAATTATCTGACCTACATTACTTATGTAGATTGCAAAGAGAGTGGATCCTAAGACTGAGCCTTGTGGTACACCGTTATTGACAGTTAAATAATTGGAAGAAATGCCGTTATGTTGAACACATTGCCTCCGGTCTGAGAGATAATTCGAGAACGGACTGATAGTGTGATCTGAGAAACCAACGTCTGAGAGCTTATAAGACGTCATGGTCCACAGTGTCAAAAGTTTTGGACAGGTCTAATTGAAGTGCAGTAGTCATTAGCATCAGTCTTTAGCAGCTTCAACACCATCATTAAAAACCTGTCCATGAACTGAACAGAACTGAACTCTACCAAAATCCGTCCATGTGTATTTACAGTGGATCTTAAATAATTGCTGTAATTTGACTGGATTTTAAAAAAAAACCACAACTTGACAGCTAACCTGATGGAAGCGTGCGCCCGTCTACTCGTTTGATTCTGCACAACTTCTCAGCCAGCACCTTGTTTATCCGTATACCTGCTGACGCAAACTGAAAACGTTGCAGGTAATTAGATCAGCAGTAAGATGGACAGTATGGCCGACGGACTACTTCATATTAATTAATTTGATCAAGCCCAAACTCCACACACTGCTGTCCTTTAAAAGGGTATACATTGGATGTAAAACATGGAGGAGAAAGACAAATGGAGCTATTTTCTTTCTTAATGAGATCGTAAATGGAGCTACGAAAACCCACAGAAATAGATCACACGGGTACATGTGTCATGCATATTGGAAGAAACAAGTGACTCATAAGAGCCTCCTCATAATGCATCTGCCTAATGACAAGTATTGACTCTGGCTCCTCAGGTGTGTGCGTCTGGGGTTGTGTGTGTAACTGTGAGGCTGTATAAAACACTTTGTGTTGGTTTTGTCACAGAGGACTTATAAATAAACAAAAAAGACATGAAATCAGTGGTTAATCTTCACATTTGCAGCGAGTCCATGCGGTTTATTTTAAATTCGACTCTGTGTGTTTATCACGACTCGGAGAATTCCCCAAGAAAGCGAGCGTTCAAGTGAGACCGTGTGCGACATGGGGCGAGAGTTCAGTTCTGCGTTCTGTTCCTGCCAGATGTTTCAAGGTGCTTTAGCTCTGGACAAGCAGCTGCAGCTTCAGCTCACCTGCTGCAGGACGGAGGAGAGCAGCTGAAGCCTCTGCTGCGGTTCCGACTCGTTCTGTCCCACCTGGTGCAGACACACACGACACAAAGAAGCACACAGCTCGGGAACACGCGCACCACGTGCAGGGCGCACACAAACACCACAAAGGAGGGAGTTTTAAAAAAGAAGAAGAAACTAAAACACATTTAGCAGCAAACGGAGGGAAACTGACCGCAGAAGGTTTCTCTGCTCTCACCTGGTGGTTGGACCCTCCCTCCTGGGCCGAGGGTGTAACCGCAGGTGAACCGGCGCTGGATGCGCTCCTCCTGACCTCAGCCTCCTTCTCCGGGTCTTTTCTGTGACGCCTCTTACTTACTCGGGTCACCTCCCTCCCGTCTCCTCGTTTCTGCTCCTGCTCAGCTCCTCTCTCCTCCAAACTCTCTCCTCCTTTCTCCACAGAGGTGCTCCTCACGCCTCTCGCGCCTCTCTTGGCCTCCTGTCCGTTCACTCGTTCCAAAGCTTCTCTTCCTTTCTCCCGCTTGTCCCTTGCACTCTGCCTCAGTCCCTCTGTGACCTTTGACCTCAGTTTCTCTTTGTGTCTCTCTCTGTCCTCCGTCCTCTGTGCGCTCTCTTCGTCGGATGAGCTGACGTCTTCGCCGTTTGCTCCGCCCACGAGCTGACCGAGCCTGGTTTGTAGTTCTTCTTCTGGAGGGCCTCTGGATCCAGATCCAAGCCTCGAGCTCCTGTGGAGTAACCGAGGCCCCGGAGCCACAAACTGGGCCTGAGGCTGGTGGAGGTCTGGTGAACGCGGAGCCCAGTCGTCCGTCTCGGGCGTCATGGCGTCCGTGGAAGCAGCTGTGGCCACATGTTTGCTGGCTGGGACCGGCTGCTCGTCGCTCAAACCCGCGTTCAGCAGCGCGTTGAGGAGAAAACCACCGTTTTCCTTTGATGTGGAAACAGAAACTCGATAAGATGAACTCAGTCAGCTTTTAAAAGCAACGGTTCAGCTGATTGTGAAGGTTAGGTGATGAGTGAGCGCACCTGAGCTGAGGGGCAGGTGGTCTGTGGGCTCCTCGTGCCTCCAGGTCTGCTCGGCTCCAGCGGACACTCCTTTTTGCTTTTCCTGCGTCTTCGAGATTTCCTGACGCTCTGCTTGTCCTCGGCCTCGCTGCTGTCTGCCGTCACCTGCAGGGACAACGGCACGTGCACGGTCACTGCACGCTCCAAGTAAAAGTGATCAAAACCTACAGCATGAAACATTTTAAACTCAGATTTAAAATAACTCTAACTCTATAGTTTTTTTTGTTGTTGTTGACAACACAAAAAGGTGTTTTTACAAAATGAGCAGTTTTCCAGGACTTCTTTTGACTGACAGAATAAAATCTTTTTTTGAATCCGTCATGAAGCGTTTGCTTCCATCTGCTGGTGGTTTGTGCTCCAGTTTTATTCACAAAGATGAATTTGCACAGATGAAAATAGAATAAATTTGTGTTCGTTGTCTTTAATTCAATGCTGAGAATGAAATTCACATTTCTCGTGTTAACTGATTTATTTAATAACATCTAAGTTAAAAACTGGTTGAATATGTGATCAATCAAAAATCCAGTGCAGCAGTTTTAATAGTTAGGTTCAAAGTGAGGGGAGGGACTTCATTTAATCAAAGTACAGGAGTACAAAAAGTTATACGCATGAGTTTAAATCCTCGGAGAACACAAAGCAGACAGTTTCTGGGTTCAAAGTTAAATATATTTACATCAGCACCATCCGCAGACATATGAACTCATTCTGAAGGTCAGCGAACCATGAAGACGTGTCACCTTGGGGTTGAAGTTCACGTCCAGCGCCTCTGAGTGGGCGGAGTTTTGGTAGAGTGGCTGCTGATGAGGATGAGGATCCGCTGGTCCTTTCTTCTTTGGCAGGTTGTGAGTGGGTTTGTGAGGATACGCAGACGACAACGACGAGACCTTCGAGTCTGAGTGGAGCGTCTCTGCGTTGGTGTACGGTCCAGAGGACGGCGAGGTGACCGGAAGGTGCCGAGTGTACGTCCACTCCGGGTCGTGCTGCGAGTCCGTGTAATAAGTCTCGTCCGACAGCCTGCGGCGGAACTGCTGCAGAGCCGCGCCCCAGCCGCCTTCGTCTTCCCCCTCCGAGTGCGAGCCCATCTCGTCGTAAGCGGAGACCACGCTGGACTCCTTTTCCAGCACGCTGAACACCAGGCTCTTCCTCTTGGTGAGCAGACTGGGCCGGGAGAGCAGGGAACTGTGCAGAGCAATCCAGTTCCCATCGGGGCTCTGCAGCACCGAGGACGCACCTGGAGGGCGACGATCAAAAAACAAGCTAACAACAAACCTCTTCAGCTCAGGTCGACTTAATTATTGGAATAATTTCAAGATGTCTGCTCAGAGGATGTGTTGTGAGTGACTCCCAGCTACTACCACGTCAAAAACTAGTTCAACATCTGTCCAACTGACTGAGTTAAGGCGGTTTAGTGACGCCTAACATGGATCATCTGAGCTGACTGTGCAAGTTGATCAGTTATACATTTACACCCCGTGATTACTTTATGCAAAATTCATTAAAATCCATCCTGTGGTTCATGAGATATTTTGCTAACAGACAAAATTCTTCTGCAACTAGTATCTTTTAAAGTATGTGTTGTGCATGACTTTTAGCAACTACCACTTTAAATTTTAGCGTAATTTCTGTAGAACTGACTGAATCATTAACGTTCATGTGTTTTTTTAAGATGCGTTGGCTGTGGCAGCCATCTTGAACTGGGTTGACCCCAAAATGTAAACGTTTGCAGATGAACTCCCAATGGTCACTTCCTGAAAGTGTCGTTAAAATTCATCCATTTGTTCATGAGATATGTTCCTCACAGCTGCAAATAGTTTGGAACAAAGTTATGGAGCAAAGAGGTGGTGCTCAAAATGTGTGTTGGGGATTACTCTCAGCTACTACCAAACCAAATTTTAAATCAGTGCCTGCAGAACTGACTGAGTTCTATAGCTTTAGCATAAAAACATGCACATGTGTGTGTTTACTGGAGTTGTCCAGACGATCCATGCTTTTCCAGCCAGGTAAAGATGCAGCCTTGGCGTCTCTTTTCAGGGAGGCGTACACCTGCAGGTCTCCTCCTCCGGCTCCAGCGGCTTCCTCCTCCTCTGGACCCTTCTCCGGCGAGTCGTCACTGGTGAGGGAGAACGCCGATCGTGATCGCTGCGAGCGCACATGAAAACACAAATATGATCAAAACAAAGCAGGACTCTGTAGATGCTGCAGGTCAAAGGTCAAGAGTTTGCTTCCAGGAACCCTCAGTCTAAAACACTGACAAGAAAAGTGGAGGGTGATAAGCATCCCTTCAAAGTCTTTAATTATTCCCAGAATGTATGTCCTTTTATTTTGTTAATTAAACTTTAGGCCATAAAAATGAAACGTGTACTTGGGTTGTAATTTAAAATCTGAACAGCAGGTGGCGCCACAGAACAGGTAAAAATCACAGAACATGCTCTGAATCCAGTTTCAAAACTAAAGTTCTACTCTTATCTGTTGCTGAAGTTTACTTTATTTGAATAATGATCTATTTTTAAGTTCTGGTTTGACATTTTGAATGTTAAAGTTGTTTTCCATGTGAAGAATTCCCTCCAACGACTGACTGGATTGCTCCTCAACAAAAGGTCGAGGCGACAATCCCCAAAACACGTGGGATTCCACGATAAGGCTTCGCTCCATGGAGCTGTGGGAGTCCGTTTGCACGGCTTGTGTCTCGGCGAGGCTGTTTGCAGAAAGCTGATAAACTGAGAGGATCCCTGCGTGTTTCACACACTTTGATCTTCTATGAGTCAAACAGCAGGAAACGGAAAAGGCCTGGGGAGTGCAGCTTTGATGCTCCGCTCACACAAACCACGATGACAAATCTTTAAAGTCCCCGCTGGCTGCAGCCGGAGCCATTAGCTCGTGTTTGTGTGGTTTGTTATTGCTGCTTTATGCATATTTTCATCAGCCTGGAACATTCAGCGGATTCTGGAAAACTGGCTCCTGATTGGTTCACTTGACTTTGAGTCCATGCTGCAAGAATAAAAAACACTCTGGTACAAAAAAAAAAGACTTAACTCTTGCTTCTGTCATCTATTTTCTCACTCACTGGCATTTTGTCCAAATTTAAAACAACAGTGCACGGATCATACAGCCAAATCATTGCTAATATTAGTATTAGTGTTACATCATCACCCACCACTGACATGCAAAAGGTGGTTGATAAGGTATTTATCTGTCTGTTAGCAAAATATCTCATGAACTACTCATTGGATTTTAGTTTAAAACGCTTGCCTAAAATAAAACCATGTTTAGTCAGAGCGCACTGCAAATAAAACATTTTTATTGTTCTTTCATATAGTTTAAACAAATAACAATACTTTTAATGTCTATAGTATTTTTAAAAGTAAATACTAAAGAGGTAAAAACATGTCATGACATGTGGGACCTTATTTTTTATTTGCTACTTAAGTGTTTGTTTTCATCGTGTCAGGGTGCAAATAAAGCTCTATCTTATCTTATAAGACCTTTGATAAAATAAAATAAAAATCATAGCTAAAAACATTTTAACGTTTACAAAATAAATTACAAATCTACCTATCTAATCTATATTTTCTACCGTATAGGTTGCATTTATTATGCATCACCGCTGGCCTGTCACATTTATTTAATGGTCAAAACAGCTTCATTTCACCTGGGCAACATGGTGCCATCCATCCATCCATCCATCCATCCATCCATCCATCCATCCATCCATCCATCCATCCATCCATCCATCCATCAATCCATCCATCCATCCACCAATCCATCCATTCAGCCTGAAGCAACACCCTCTCCAGCGG